GAAAAAGAAGAAACGCATGAATACAGATGGCGCATTTGCTAAACCAAAAGGAATTCTAGTGTACTCGAAATAATGACCTTGCGGTGTAATGAAAGCAGTTGTGCGTCTGGCACAATGCTTAATTGATGGTAGCTGGGCTAAATCTAAACTCGTGAAGTACTGTTCGGTGGATACTTTTATATTTTACCATAGCGTTTAACGCACGATAATCAACGCATCCACTGGTGAAGCATGACTAGATTCAGATTATTTTATAATGCCGGCATCTAAAAGTTGATTAGCTTTAGATTTAACTATCGTTTGTTCATTATGAGAAAGTCTAAAGGTGGCGATACACGGGCTGATCACCAGTAAGCTTAATTTGCATTTGAACTAAATTGGCAATACCTAAATCATGTGCATTCGTAGGAAAGCAATGCTTAAACTGTATTTTTTTAATCTGAATGACCCTTATTATTTAATGGCTCCTTTTATTTATTTTTTATTTCTACCCTCAAATCTCGAAATATTTGTAATGGCATGGCTAGGGCAAGTAGAAATGCAACACACCTGGCTGTTTGGCTGTGGCTCCTTGCAGCTGTTAGCCCTCGGTAGGACCTCGCCCGGCGGCTACATGATGGTCTCCGAGCCCATGTTGATGACTTTGATGTAGCCGTCTTCGCCGCGCAGCAGCGTCGCAGGCAGGAAGAAGGAAGCTCGTAGCCGTGAATCTCGTGAAGCGCCGTGAAGCTCGTAGTGCCGCAGTGGGTTACTCCACGTTGTTGCTCTTCTAGTTTCCGTCCACGTGAACCAGAATGATGGAAGGACAGGGCGGCGGGCGCTCTTCGTCCGACGACGTCGATATTCCTTTGGTTTGATTGTTCCAGGTTCTTCATCCTGTAGCTCAATTATCGCATTGTGGACCTCCTTCTGAAGCAAATTTTTCAACACCTTCCTCGCTGGTGGAATAGGAGTTTCATCATCTTTTTTTTTCCAACTTGTCAGAATACCGAGAGATCTGAGCGTGTATATGACGTTGTTTCATTTCTTTATGCCACTTCTGATTGTTGCAGCAAATGATGTGACAATAAAAACCAGCAGCGTAACGACAAGTTCTTTTATTTGTGCGGGAATGCAGAAAGCAGGTAGAAATGGCTGGCACGGCTTGTTTTATTAACACTATCCCCCCTTCGTTGGCTTTGGCTGGCGGCGGTGGCGGTGGCTGTGGCGGAAGGGGGCGTGTTAATATGGCTTGGCGGCTTGGCTGGCGGCAGGGCATGACAGCTGACGTCACGTCCGTTACAATTAATTAAAGGTGTACTTAGAGTAAGAGATCACAGACTAAGCGAGGCGATCCAAAAAAATTCGTACTTTTTTCGATCCATACATAGTATTTTGTTATTTTCTTTCATGACAAAAAAAGTTGAAACCGTTAGGTACGTTTAGTAATAGATAAAAGACAATAGAGTGAAATAGAAATTACCCATTGAAATAAATTGCATTAGGAACAGATAAAAATTGCTACTTTTAAAACGACGTGTATTAACGACGGAGCCAATTCACAGATGGAGACTCTATCGTTCTGAAATGTCACGCAGTATTGGGAATATTAAGACCATGGAGTTACTATTCTAACTGGAGTGCTTACTTCGTTTGACATAAAAACTAAAAATATACTTTATCTCTATGGCTTAAAGTTTATTTTTAAATAGCAAAAGATGTAAGGAAAAACGGTCTGAAAAGAGAATGATTATTAAGTGGTGGTGTCCCTCTCGCACATTTTACAAACAAAAAGCTAGCAGCTTAGAGGATTTTCCACAAAATCTCGTAATTTGGACCCCTGTCTTATTTATCAAAAATGGCTATTAGTGGTTAGTGGATTTTTTAGTAGCTTGAGCGTTGTTGAAAATTATCGAAAAGGTTAAAATCAATCCACTTTACAGGATTTTAAACATTTTATGACAATAATATATCTAAATAATATTATTTAAACGATGTGACTTATACTTAACTAGAAAATGTTGCGACAATTTAGAATTTCCATCAACGTCAAAAATTAAATTGGTTCAAAAGAAACGTACAAAGTTATGGTGAAATTAGTTTCTGATGATGACAATTTATTAAAATAAATTATATAAGAAGTATTGATTATATGATATATATTGATTTTTAATAGAACATCATATATTAATAAAACTCATTAACAAAATAATTATTGTTCTATAATAGTAAGAACTCTGTTTAATGGAAAATTTAATGGTAGGTACGTAATTTCTAATGGTTTACATGTTGAATTTGGTGGGAAGCCAGATTAATTGTTGGCATCACCGAAAAAGAGCTATGAATGGATCAAAAGAAAAATGGCGTCTATTTACGTTTGTAGTTCGAAGTTAAAAGGGCACTGATACAGCTGTGGCTTGTTTTTTTTCGAAAATCGTGAAAGTTTCCGTGTAATCATGGTGAACACTTGTATTGTAAGTGGTTGTAAGCGAGAATCATCTCCAGTTTGTGGAATATCCTTCCATATGTCACATTCATTGATAAATTTTTATTAGTGTAAGCATATATTTTTAAAATGTGAGATATTTTTTCTCATTATAATATTTAATACCATTTGTTTTGTAAATTGTACTTAATCTATGTCATATACTAAATTTGAAAAAACAATCGTGAAAAACTATAATTTTGCAATGTATTTTTCATATTACAAGAGCCATCACGTGGTATTTTTTGAACTTTTTTTATTGTATTGAATAGCGTCGCACGCAAGCATGTATATCATTTGCCTGACGTTAAGCGAACGAGGAGGATCTTCTAGTAAATATGACATTGGAATTTCTGGAAAATGTCCTATGTAAAGGTCAAACAAGAGGAATCAAGTACTCAAACGCAAGAAATAAAAAATACCCCGAGAAAAGCAAAATTACGACAAGATGTTAGGGTTTTGAAACAAAAACTTAAAAGTCGCGAAATAGTGATTGTAAATATAAAGTCGATTTTAGATTTATTAAAGAAAAACGGCGATTTTTAATTGAATTGAAATTTAAATTGCGAAATTTTAATGATACTCATGGTCCACTTAGATATTGATTAAAATAAATTATGCATTTCGTTGAAAAAAAATAATTTACATAAAATAGAGGAAATATTATATTATAAGACTACAGAAAATTAACTGAACTTAATAATAATAATATAATCAATATTTTGTAAATAGAGATCAAGTACTATGTGTATTGTGTTATGTGTATTGACTTGTCATTTAAGAGTTATTTAATTGTCTACATATAACAAATAAATGAATTGCAGTTCATTTCATTTTATTACCCATTGTGTTTTATTTCCTAAAATGTAACTAGTAGACTTAATATACACGTGTCATGAAAATAGCACAGAAGTAAAAATAAAAGCAATTTTAAATCAATTGAAGATGTGAATGTAGGAAAAGAGCACCCGATACGCGCAGACCATGTGCGTTGCAGTGTCAAATATTAATTTGCACGGCCCACTTAGCCAGTACATTAAAGTAGGAATTGCGTAATTAAGTTCAACATAATATTTAAGTCGCGGTTGAGTATTCGGACGTTAAACATGAGTTTGAGGAAGTTTAAGTAATAGAACTGAGGTAATAATGTTTGTAATAAAACTCAGTGCTAGATTTTCGACAACGCAGCAATTTCCAAAAAAAAAAGTCGAGAAAAAGTCACCATGACGACGAAGCAATGTTTAGAATTGAATTTACATAAATAAACTGTTGCAAGCACGTGTTTTGTATTTACATAGGGCTACACAAAATTACTTAAGGTAAATTCAAAACTGATGCATGTGTATAATTTTGTCCTATAAATAATTTTTACATGGTCACCACATTAGACAAGGACACCGCGACCAAAAAGTATTCTCTTTCGAGACCGATTTCTCGGCATTAGACAGCACTCCAGTTGTAGGTACTTATTAACTCCATGATTAAGACTGACTGTGTATTATCTTCTATGTCCATGTCCCGCACTATCAGTGCTGCCACCTTGGTGGTTTTCCCACCAGAACTGGTGATTTTTTGAGGCGCTTAGTGGTATTTTTTCATTTTATAGCGCATTTATTATTTTTAGTGGTTTTTGGCGGTTTTTCAATAAGGAATCTGGCAACATACTTTTGATAGGGATATCTATTGATATCCCGAAATTTCATGTTAATGTTTTCAGCTTAGGTACTCTATAACCGGGGAATTCCTAGGCGAGGTCGTTTGTTAATGAATGTTTTTTTTTACTTTGTCCCATTCTGATGCGGGTATCAAAAGAGTATTTAGTGTAATGAACATTGTAAAAAGTAAACTGCGGAACAGGATGGCTGGTCCACTTTTAAAAACTATTATTTTTATAAAAAATAGGCTTAAAGCTATTGATGCAAAGTGTTTCAACTATGAATTACCAAGCGATGTCATAGCACCTAATAACAGTCTAAACACAAAATAATCTTACAAAACTACAAGACTACAGCTATCAACACCTTTGGCGTTGACGGTAGCATCTACGAGTAAGAATGATGATGAAGTTGTAGAAGATTTTTACTAGAATTCTTTTAGACTAGAATTTTAATTTACACACATTTTCTCTTGATTTTTACTCTTCTAGTTCTTATTCTTCTCTTATTTTACTCTTCTGATTAAAAAATAAACATATTAATTTGGTTTTATTTTACTGCCAATAGAATATTAGGAGCCAGTTTTAAAGTTTCCAGATGAGTTCCCGTAGTCTATAGCTAACGAATCGTTCATTCAAAACTGTCATATAACCAATCGTAGATATCTCTTATTACGGAGCTGGTGAAACTGGCACTAAACATAATCGACTTAGGATTTCTTTAGTCTGATTCAAGTTCAAAAACTTAGCGGAAGTTGGTGGTTTTTTTTTTATTAGCAAAATTTCCGAAATTTGGCGAAATTTTTCTCTTGACCTAGCGAATTAAAAAAAATCTAAGGTGGCAACACTGCCCACTATAGAGAAACCTCTTAGGCTATAAGGTCTTGTAACCATTGGCCGTAAATAAATAAAAAAAAAAAATTAGAGAAACCTGCCTGAGAAATAGTGAGAAACTGTAGCTCGGTGTGCTTTGTTGGCGCTGGTGTGAATCATTTTATTCCGTAGTAATACAATTTGGCGGTGAGTAAATCTACTAAATTTTAGCAAAAAAAATATCAAAGTACTTTCAATTTGTTAGCTCATTAATATAATCGACAAACACGGGTGCAGTTTTTTTATTGCGTGTCATTAAGTTTTTGCGCTCGAATCAACAACGCAAAATCGATGTTTGTTGTTTACCTTGCCAATTTTTTTTCTTATTGCGGCGAAAGGGAATTCTATCGTTGTTATTATTTCAGGTAATATTTAATTGAATAACAATGGCTCTCGAAGGTGGAATGTCCTGTGTAAAGTACCTCATGTTTTGCTTCAATCTTCTGTTTGCCGTAAGTACCTAATTGACAATTTTTTCGTATGAATTTACGAATAGACCACAGTATGTATACGTACATACTATGTTTTAAAACTTTCCAGACTGGAAGTGATTCATTCTGACGATTGCACCATTATTAATACCTTCACTTTGTGATCTTTCCATTAATATTGATTCAATTGAATTAAGTAATTTCTTTAATTAGGAAAAGACGACTTTTAACGTCTATTAAATAAAAAAAAGAACAATTGTTTTCGGATTTCGCGAAACGTAGACAGTCGCATAATTAAATCAACTTTTACGGTTTAACCTAGCGTTTAATATTTTATTACCGACGTTTTCGAATATTTTCAAGTTTTCATGGTCACATACTACTAAGTACATTTGAAAGAAACTTATTTTTTTTTTAGAAAATAAATGGTCGCACAATATTCAAATTTGAGTAAGAAAAATGTAGAGTATGCTAAAAAATGTAACAATCGCATCATTAAACCGTAAAAGTATTTTTATTGCAACAAAAACATACTGTAGCTTAAAAAAAAATTAAATGTGTGATTTGAATTATTTCCAAAAACAATATCTACTGTTTTTAATCCTTTTTTTTGCTTGTTAGTCAAGGCTTAATATTAGAAAGGACTAGACAGATATTTTCATTGGCAAGTAGAGAGTTTCTCTAATAATAAGAAACAGATTTTGATCCTGGAAAGTTTTATGGAGGCATTTTTGTTATTGCCGTAGTAGGCAGATGAGTGTACGGCTCACCCGATAGTGAGTCATTAGGGTCGCCCATGGACTTCAGTAATGCCAGGGGCAGAGCCAAGCTGCTGCCTACTGTGCCTACATTTATAACATTAATCTACATACAAGTTCAAATACTAGAAAGAGTTTAATTTGAACATAAAATGTGAATGGAGGAGACGTAATGAAATTGTAGTAATATCATTTTAATTATGATTATCAAAATCATAAAAAAAATGTTTTATTTTCAGTTTAACTTAAAACTTGCAAAAAACCCTTAATATGTACTTTTTTGTGAATAGTTTTCATACAGATCTATAAAAAAATAAGTCAAATCTTTTCAATAATAGCTAACACCAACTTAAATCTATAGATATTATTTTGTAATTACTCCAAAAAAGCTGACATGTGACTTATCAGTTTTAGTTTACAGACACATTGAAAATACAAATTTAAAACCAAAATCATCACAATAATATTAAACTCTGCATTAAAAAGAGTTTTATAGTTTATTTCGTACTTGCATTTAAAACACCTTATTACATAACATTCTTATTTTAACCAGTCAAGTGTAAGAATTTTTAAATGAGACCTCTAAACACTTAAAGATAAAACAACCAATTAAGGCCACAACTTTACATAAATTTCATAAAAAAGATAACCATCACTGAGTTTAAGTAATTATATGCATATTACATTGCAAATGCAATTGCAATCACACTGGTATGGATTCATTTCAAAACTCTCATTTCAACATCAAAAGATTTGCTGCAGAAAAAATCAGAGGTAACAGAAGACTGGTATATTGGTTAAGAACTACCCATATATAGGTAAATAGTGTTGAATAATTTTAGATATTTACACCTTACCACCACAGAACTGTGGTAGCTGTGACCTGCAACAGTGACCATGCAGCAGTTTATGAAAATGGTATTCTTCTTATCGGAAGGCTAACCCTTTTGGTTTAGGAACTCAATAATTTTTTTTAATATATATTTAATACAGTGTTGATATTGTCATTCCATAATACGTGTAATATATTCCTTCAGTAAAAGCATAGACATTAAGCCTATTTCTGCATCGAAACAATCTAGTGTTCAGGTGTTAAGAATGGGATAGTTCTCATGCAGTACAATTGCGACTTTAACCCAGTGTTCATTATCATTATCACCTTTTTATTGTATATATGGGCTCGGATAACTCATTATCTAATTAATAAGAAATCAACTAAAAGCCAACCTCAAGCCTGCTCCGGTTTAACGTATCTGAATGTATTCACTTTAAATATTTTTGTTACAGATTACGGGATTGATCATCCTGATAGTTGGCATCAGGGCTGAAATAAACTCGTATCCTTACATGAACTTCACCGATGAGAACTTCTACAAGTTCGCTCCGATCGTTCTCATCATTGTCGGCATTATTGTTTTCATTGTCGCGTTCTTCGGCTGCTGTGGCGCTGTCAAAGAGAACCACTGCATGATAATAACGGTGAGTTTTTATATAATACAAACCCTTCTAGAATTGGTCGTCTCAATAGACGTGGCGAACATAGAACAGCCTTTTGCTCATAGTCCGCCAGCAAGCTCCAACCTCAACAACTTGCAGAGTAATAGAGAGTACCTAATACCCTTTTTGTTCATATTTGGAAGAAATCGCTCACATCTAAAAAAACATACATCATATACTAAATGATCCAAATTTCTTGAACATTCTATAGAATCATTGCATCATAACATTTCGTCGAAGTAATTATAAATAGCAATGAAAGGTACTTTAATACTCCAGAGGTAGATGCTTAATTCGTTGGTGATAAAATGTTCTTGTGAAGTGATACTCCGTCGATGGCTTGCCATAAAGCAGTCAGTCAGCCATTTCGATTCCAAGGGTGGAAGTATTTTATACCTATTCACGTATGTAGTAACCTCGAGGTTTCGACCTGGTTTCGCCTAACTTAGTTTACTGGTCGTAAGACCTCTTGTGAGTCCGCACGGGTAGGTACCACCACCTTGCCTATTTCTGCCGTGAAGCAGTAATGCGTTTCGGTTTGAAGGGTGGGGCAGCCGTTTTAACTTGGACGGTCTCAGTATAGTTACAACGGCTGCCTCACCTCCACGGTCCTACCACCAGTAAGTACGCAAATTATAATTTTGCGGGTTTGATTTTTATTACACGATGTTATTCCTTCACCGTGGAAGTCAATCGTGAACATTTGTTGAGTACGTATTTCATTAGAAAAATTGGTATCTACCCGCCTGGGATTCGAACTCCGGTGTATCGCTCAACGCGAATGCACCAGACGTCTTAACCTTTGGGCCACGACGACTTATAAACAATAAAAAAAAACCGAAACTCAGCCTGAGAGATTTTTCTAACATCTGTCCGAGAAAGAGGACTGTTTCGCTGAAACTAACACCGAATCGGACCTTAACCTAAAATCATATTTAGTTTCGTCCAGACGAAGCAATGTATTGAATCGCCATCTTAATGTTTTAGAGTTCACGGTGTCTGGTACAAACCATGTACGCATATAAAGTAAACAAGCTCATTAGGGTTTCTCCAAAGATTACAGTAGAGGTCAATAAGAATGAACTGCGTGTATGTACATTGATATGCGAACCGCACGTTTGCTAATTATGAAAAGTAATTGAATAATTGAATATGCAATTTCGAAAAGGGCACATCTCTGAAAATGTAAAATGTTCAGGAAATGAAAAAAAACTATTAACTTTTGAGAAATATTTAGTGTTAATTAGCAATTGAAAATTACTGGAATTATTATAAAATGGGTGTAGGTAAGCCTCAAAACTACATGTATATGAAAAAACGTATTTGACAGAATATGCGACATGTGCCCTTTTCGAAATTGCATATTCAATTCCACTCTCAGCCGAAAGCTTGCAGATTACAGTAGTAGATGCGAAATTATTTTCTTCCAAGGTCTATAAGTAAATCAAAAGTCGATGTATGTATGTTCCCTATAAACTTCGGAACAGCCGAAGAACCAATAGAAAAAAATCGATAAATCGTCTCGAGTTTGTTAGCGTTCACTGGACAGTGAGCTCTATCTAAGGGTGAGAGAGCTCAGGCTTACTTTGATTCATTGATTACCGAAGCCCACAAACAACAACGTCAATGCCGTAATCCACACTGAAGCTAGACGTCAAAATCAATTGTATAAAAACTATTCACTCTTCAAACACCCTAAGACTGGTTCGCGGCCTAAACAACATTACGACAATACCAAAACCTTTAGAAAGCGAATCTAGACCGATTCCCATTCACGAAACGGACGGAGACTAATAAAGCAGAAAGGATATGACCATTAAAACTCCGAGATCGTGTCAAAGGCCATCAGGTTGACTTCATCACGACAATTGGATGCACGATCACTCGAGTGGTCATTTGGTCGGTGTTAATTTGGCGTTTGTCTTAAACAGCCTATACTGTGTTAGGTTTTAGCGTGCACTTGATTTACGCATGTACGCTTGATTCTTAAAAACAATGATAATAATGATATCGTTGGCATAAAACTGCCTACAATCATTCCGACTTTTACACCAACTTTATCTGACCTCTCGCCGGTTGTAAATGATTACCCGAGGACATATACGTAACGACGTAAATTCAAATATTAGACAGAAGACTCAATTTTTAATACGCTTTTATTAGCTTCATACATATATTAGTATGTAACGGAACCTTTGAACATGATTTTGACCCCCTTCAAAACGTCGGATTAACTCAAAATTTGGCATACTTATTAAGGACCGATGACAATTCAATATTTTAAACGGTATGATCCGTTATCCTTACTATGATAATAAGGATTAGCGATTTTTTTGTTTTTTCTGAGACCCGGAGTGTCTGCGTCAAGACCAAGAAGGGAAACTACCAGGCGCGCCGATCACCTATTTCTCGGATAAGTTACCGACTGATTCAGATGAAATTTTTGAAAAATTGAACAAAAACATAAATTGTAATTCAACAAAAAAAAAATATTAGTTAAGAAAAAAAAAAGCTTATCTATTTTTATTTTAATTAAAGTAATGGTAGTTCTATCCTTTAAATGAGAACGCATGTTTACTTCGTTGGCAGAAATAGGCAAAAAAAAAAAACGATACTTATCTGCGAAAATTCCCAATACGCCCCTAATAAAGCGAGTCATTGATTTGTTTAAAATTTTATTAACAGATTTATTGCCTCGCAAAAGCTTAATATAAGGCAACCTGTGCTATTATGGGCGGGCAGCCTTTCTTAAAAATATATAGGCTTTTACCCGTCCACCCTGGTCGAAAGGAAATGTTTTCCTATGCCGTTACTAATTAGAACGCTAAGTTTTAGAATAGTGTTCAATGAGGGACGAATAAAAATACTACAATCTCATCAATAAACGTGGCTTCAAATTCGGTCGAAAAAGACAATGCACCATATGAGTCGACTATTATCAAAGCCGGCAATCTGACTTTTGGACAATGATTGGTAAATCAGAAAAACGAATTATTGACTTTGTATTCCATTGGCAGTCACAAAACTCTTCGGAACGACATCTTAGATAAATAACAGGTTAACTATTAACCTTTATTTAATGCAGGTTTTGAACCGTATTCTTTGAAGGAGACGATTATATTCAAATAAATCTGTATTGACATA